CGCCTGGTGGTCGCAAAGGCGAGGTGAACGATGAACGAGTCGCCAGCGGGGCGCCAAGTCCAGGTCCGTACCAACGGTGTATGCAAGCCAGGTGGGCTACGCAGCCGAGGTGACGTCGAAGACCTGCCTGAATGGCTGGGACGCGTCCAGGGGAAGCGCGGCGTGAGACGGAAGGCTGAACCACTCCGAAGCGCTCGCGGGGCTCCCGGGGCCCACCATCGTGGACCGACCCCCGCACGGAGACCCCAGGTCCAGAGGAGAGCAAGATAGGTAACTTCAGGAGTAAGAGATGGAGGAGAAAGAACGGACGACCAAATAGGAACGTGGAGGGCACCCAAGGACACCGAGGGGCACGGAAGGACATCCAGGGACACAAAGGGATAAGCTCGGACATCCAGGGACTCTGAGGGTCATCCGAGGACATCTGCGGACATCAAGGGACGCCGAAGGACATCCAGGGACAACCTCGGACATCCAGGGACACCGGTGGACATCCAAGGACATTTGAAGAAATCACAAGACTTCGACGGCAAGCGAGGAACCATCCAGGACATCTGCAGACGTTGAGGGGCAGCGAAAGACATCTAAGGCCAAGAATATGTGGGCATCCCGGGACGCCGAGGGACATCCAAGGACGTCTATGGACATCTCGGGGCACCGAGGGACACCCATGAACATCTGCGGACACCTGGGGACACCGATGGACATCGAAGGACACCAGTGTTCCTGGATGTCGAGAGCAGCAAGCTTTGCGTTTGTTATATGGCGCGGACTTGGCCGACTTATACCACGCCAGCGGAAATCGACACCCCGCTAATCCAAGTTTGGCAAGGATTCGCATGGCAAGTACCGAGCAACAACAAAGTCAGCTACATAGCATAATTGGCTGTAGGAGCCGCGCTCACACCCTTGGTTGAGGGAGGAAACTGGGCCGCCCCAAGGGAATGAACAAACAGGAGGGCGCGGCCGAAAGCCACGCGCGGGAGGAGAACGGGGACAAGGAGTTGGGCAAGGATGACAAGGAGGGAGGAAGAGGGCAGGTGGAGGAGGTCCGAGGATGAGGAGGAGGGCGGCGAAGATCACGGGAAGGTACCCGTATCGCAACGCCCCCAGGCCACAGCATAGCGGAAGAGCCAAAAAACCATTGGATCCCTGAGACACTGCACAACAAGTGCGAAACATTATTTCATACCCCAGCGCATATAATATGAAAAGTGGAGCCCCAGGCTCCGGCGGATCGAGCGGCAACCCTGATGATATGATTCGTGAGTTCATCCACTCCTCCTCCGATCTCATCGATCCTCCCCTGCTCCACTCCTCCTCCTCCTCCTCCTCCTCCTCCTCGTCCTCCTCCTCCTTCTCCTCGTCCTCTTCCTTCTCCCCCCTTTTCCTCCCCGGGGAACACGGTAGGGTGGAGGAGTCAAAGGCAGCGGAAGCAGGAAACAGGGGGCGGCACGAACGCGAGAAGAGCAAGGGAGGACCGGCAGGGAGGAACGGCAGAGAGGACCAGCAAGCAGCAGGAAGGGCGAGGTGCAGTCGGGCTGCTGAAATGAGAAACGCTAAAGCAGGAAAGAAGCACCTGTTTTGCGTCAAAAGAGCTTGGATGCACGAGGAGGGCTTGAGGAACAACCACACAATGGCCTAAGGAACAGCGAGCCCCTTGCGAACCCAAGCCGGTCCTTATCTCAGCGTCTTGGCTGCACGACCAGGAGGGAGGGATGAGGAGGAGGCAGGATTGCGCAGCCACCAGGTGGCCTGCATTCTCGTGCTCATCACGAGCACTTTGCTTGTGCGTGATGGCCCTTTCGTGCGCGCGTGCGTGCGTAAATCACGGGGTGTTCTAGAAACCCATCGTAATGCATTGATACCCTAGGATCCCAATCATGCATGTTGACACTATAAGAGACCATGGACTTCGCATAGTGCGATAAAGGAAACGCGACCTTCCAAACCATCCACGCGGACAGCACGGATGCGGGAGACCCAGGGGCTCCTCTTCCTATACCTCCTCTTCCTCCTATACCTCCTCCTCCTCCTCCTCCTCCTCCTCCTTCTCCCTCCTCCTCTTCCTCCAACTCCTCCACGCTGCTTTTCACTCTCCCTTTGCCGATGGGCCTCGCATGGATGGCAAAAGTGTGTTTGTGTGTGTGCGTGTGTTAGCGTCGGCGCCGACGTGTGCTTGTCCACAGGGTGCCCTCAATACGACGCGGGCGGTACACTGTGAGGGCCAGCAGAGGCTCCCTGCCGTCGAAGAAAGCGGAACGAGCTTACACTTGTTCCTCCGCCAATGCGCCGCAAGCCAGACGTGGCGACAAGGAGCTCCCCCAGGGAGCGCAAGCAAGAATTCCGCGCGATCCCCTTACGGGGGACGCATTGCGCGACTGACCACGCGAAAGTGTTTACTTCTGCGCGCGCGCGCTCACGCGGTCGTGGCCATTTTTGCGTGGTCAGTCGCGCAATGCGTCCCCCGTAAGGGGGTCGCGCGGAGTTCTTGTTTGCGCTCCTTGGGGGAGCTCCTCGTCGCCTCCTCCGAGCTTGCAGTCGCGATCGGGGACGAAGACGGGCCACGTGCAGGGAGTCAGCACACCTCTTGGCGCCGTGCGGCGACGCGAGCAGCAGCGCGGCGAAGTCAGGCCAGCGGCGAACGGCCGAAGAGGGCAGACCGCGCGGGAGCCCCACGCGGCAACACACGCGCACACGTTGGGCGAACAATACGTCTGAGGAGAACAACTCTTGTGCTGGGAGAAAGGGTTGTGTGGCATCCTCGGCGGACCTTGCCTGTCCCGTCGCGGCCCTATTCGCGTCGAATCCGCGTCGAATCCATGTTGGACGCGTCGGATCCGTGTTGAATCCGTGTCGAATCCGAGTCGAATACACGCCAAATCCGCGTCGAGTCCGCATCAAGCCCGCGTCGGGCACAAGAAAAGACACCAAATTTAGGGACAGACGAGGTCCCCCGAAGATGCAACGTGAAACACCTGTCGTGTCGGGAGGAATGAGCTGGGGGTATGGGAAGATGAAGGGTATGAGCCATAGCATCCGGATGCAGTGAACGCTGCCTTCGGCCGCCCACGGGTAAGGACATCCTCACGTCTCCCAGCCCCACCCTCCCAACCCGATGAATGCCTTCCTGGACGTTCCCAAGACCACCCGCCCTCTTCCGACGGAGGCCTGCAAGGGGCACTCCGGAGGCCTCCAGGGGGCCGTCTGACCGTCTGGGAGCCTCCCGCGGCGCCCATGGGGCGGAGACCTCGGCCCGTCGTCGGCAACCTCACCATCGTCACCACCACCACCACCAACACCAGCATCTGGCCTCCTCCTCCTCCTCCTCCTCCTCCTCCTCCTCCTCCTCCTTCTCCTCCCCCTCCCTCTTCGTCCTCCTCGTTCTCCCTTCGCTCGTATCCCACCAACATCAACACTTGGCGACCTGGTCCTCCCAAACGTAGAGCCGACGTCTCTCTCTGGCTCCTGGTGCTCCAAGGCGTAGAACTGCCGTCACTGTTTTTGGCCCCCAGTGCTCTCAAACGTAGAACTGGCGCCTCTCTTTGGCTCCTGGTGCTCCAAAGCGTGGAACTGCCATCACTGTCTTTGGCCGCTGGCACTCCTAGACATAGAACTGCTCTCGTGGACACCTCAGACCAACTGTCACGTGTTCGCTCCGCACTGCGCTGTTCTGGCTCGCCTTTCGTTCTCTTGAACTGCTCTGCGGTGCAGCGAGGTGATCTGCCGCGCGCTGCTGTAGTTCGCTGTGCTTTGAACTGCTTCGGCGCACGCTGCTCGGCATGGCACTGGTTTACACTGCATAGCTTTGCTCTGCACTCCTTTGCTGTGCGATGCGTCGTCTTTCAGGCCGTGACCCCCTGGTGGAGAGGTCCTCGAGGGACGGGATGCTGCCCAAGGAGAATACTGAAGGAACGGGTGAGGAACCCTTGAGGAACCTGGCCTCCCGTTTGCAATGCCATTGGCCATTGGCAAGGCCGAACTGGCGGAGGAAAGCGCTGGCCAGGGCGAACGCAATACATAGTCATAATACGAGCGGCAGTTGACAGAACGACGGCAGGGATCCTCGCACAGACAGCCACTGATGGAGCCAAGATTAGGGGAACGAAGAATGACATGAACGTAAAAACTCGGAGGTCCGCGCGGATTTCTCGGATCCGCGCTCGACCCCCCTCCCTGGTGCGCGGAGCTCGCCAGGGGCGACGCTGGAGGCGCCGCCAGGGGGGTCCAGCGCGGATCCGAGAAATCCGCGCGGACCTCCGAGTTATTATGTTTATGTCATTGCTCGTGCCCCTATGAATGGAGCCAAGATCGACGTCCCAGCCACGCCTCCGTCCAAACGAAGCAGATATCCTCAGCTACGCATGCCCTTCTCGAGCATTACGCCTAGCTGTGGCAGCGAGGGTCGGCGCTCTGTGTCCCATTGCCCATCTGACCAATGTGGCGGTCGGCAGCTTCATCGGAGGCGTG